TAATCACAAAGAGCCAGAATGCCCTTGTGTAGCTGCAGCTGGGATGGAAAGCTCCATTTGGATTTTTTTTTCTCTCTCTAGTTCCTCAGACCTTGTGCACACAGGTTCAAGGAGCCAGCTGTCTAGCAAGCAGAGAAGGCAAGTCCTGCAGAGGTAAGGTTCTTCCTTGATCATCTTACCCTCACATCTCTCCGTACAAAACAAAAATATGGCCCCTGCATTGTCCTGGGGGTGTATGACCTCTTCCCAGGGTGCCTCAAGTATTGAGCTGCCACCCCAATTGTACATGTCGCTGTTGTGTGTTCAGCCACTTTCTGTTGTTCAGGGAGTGGGATCCTACCATCACTAGGTGAACAGGCCACAGGCAGTCTAACATTTGTATGCACACGTATGTGCATATGTAGTGTCCCTAAGGATCTAACTGCTTTTTAAATGGACTTTAAATTTGTTTCTCTGTATCTCAAATACATACCCCTTCTCTGAGGAAAGACATGGTCAACATGACAATCAGATGACCTGGAATTGGGATCTCAACCTCTGTTACTTCTAGGTAATCTATTCATCTTGTCTGTCCTTCAGCTTCTTCAAAAGAAGAAGAAGAAGAAGAAGAAGAAGAAGAAGAAGAAGAAGAAGAAGAAGAAGAAGAAGAAAAGAAAAAAAAGAATCTCCAAATAGAATTGTATGCATATCTTTAAACCCCAGGGAAATGAGAGAGGGAACCAAATGGGCTGTCCTTGTTGACAGGGCATCAGGGCATCATCCATCATCCATATCCTGTTGAATCCAGGATGGGAAAGAACCAAGGGCCTTCAGGGGCTCTGAGAACAGGGAGAAGGAATGGGTTTCGCTCAGCAAGGAAGGGAGGTGGAAATCACTCCTCCCAACATGGCCCAGAGCTCATGCTGTACTGACATTAACCAATGTTGCTTCTGAGGGGAGAGAATTAAAAAAAAAAAAAAAAAAAAAAAAAAAAAAAATTCTACAGTGCCATCTTGTGGTGAGAAATGGATACATGCGGTCCAATCATAATTCTTTATTGGATTTTATATGACATTAGCAGGTGTAAATAAATTGCATGCTATTACACCCTCAATTCCTCCCATATGGTCGGGCAGCATTTTAAAGTGGTCAGCAAATGTTGACAGCAATCTATACTTGTCCCACTAACACATTTACCACAAGTAATTAACTTAACTGCCTGATAAAAATGTCATTGGCATGTTGTAATGCTAGCTATTGTCTGAAAAGACTTTGACTGACAGTTTCTTGTGTTGGTTCTCTGGTTATCTTTATAGGCACATAATCAAATCCAAATTTGATCATTATTTTACGATTTGATTAAAGTAAACAGCCAAACTGTGTAATCAGGATTCAGGAAGATTTATTCTTTGCTTCAATGATGGGCTTTGAATTTTTATGTTATTAGAAGACAATAACCAATTAGTCTGATTGCTTTGTGATGTTGCCAAGTGCTGGGCAGCCACGCCCTCCATATGAATGTAATTCATCAGCAGGATTCCATGGGCTCTGAGATATCATTTTGTTCCTGTTACTGCTCCAGGAACAGCCCCTCATCACTGCATGCAAGCCCTTTCATTGCCTTGTAAACAGGAGCCACACAAGCTGAGTTTCGTGAACCATGGCAAGCATGCCTACCTGGCAGGGGTCGGATTGGCAGAGCAGCAGCTGTCTGGGCCTGGGTGACTGCAGCTCCACACAATCCTCTGAGCTGTTGTTATAAACAGCTTGAACAATGGAAAGTTCCTTGGGATTACTTCAGCGGTGACTATGAAGTAAAGTGTGTCTTTTACAAACAGACTTCATTCCTTGAATAGGTAAATAGCCTTCTGTGTAAGCTGGACACACATTCTCCTCTTGCATACTTGTGATAAGAGACACCTCAAAAAATGTGGCAATTGCATCTGGATAGTTGACTCAGCAGTAAAGAGTTTTGCTGCTATTGCCAAGGATGTTACTACTACTCCCAGTACCCACATGGTAGCCTATGAATACAGCTCCAGTTCCAGAGCGTCTGGTGCCCTCTTCTGGCCTCTGCAGGCACTGCACTCATATGATACGCAGACAAACTCAAGTAAATACCCATGCACATAATTTTCTTATTTGTCCAAACCCACCCAGCCCTGATCTTTGCCTCAGCCCTGGGCCCACAGGGACCTCTGAGCTCACTGACTTCCTGTAGAGGGTACTTAAGTGCCTATGTACCAGCTCCTGACTCCACTGGTCTCATCCTGGTTCCGCCCATGCCACGTAACAACCATGCCTCCCTAGCAAGAGGTTAAGTGCCACGCGAGCAGCAGGCCATTTGTGCGGAGCAGGTGACAGCACCCATTTGTTCAGTAAATGCTTGCTGTGAGTGAGACTGAACAAACACACAACGCTTTCTAGATGCTGTCTGTGTTCAAGGTCCTGGGTCAACCAGACATCTGGGAGTAAGAGATTGGGGGTGCAGCCTTCTGCTCCCCTGTGTGCTGTAGTCGAAGAATTGGTGTCTGAGTAAGACAGGCTCTGGGAAGTCCTCCTGGCTCCAAACGTTTAGCTGTTTTCACTAGATATTCAGCCTTAATCGCTGCTTCCTAGGTTCCTGATGTGACCGGCGGCCACACTTTCTCAGTGGAACAGGAAGCTAAGCCGGCATTTGCGCTGCCAATTCCAAATTACCCTCTGCAAACATGGTGCCCTTTACAGGGCAAACACCACCCAGTTCATGAATTGAGCGATCAAGAGAGAACTTTACCCACCATTAATGTTTTACAACCTTTCTCAAAAAGTGTCACCTTTGACCCACAAGGCTAAGGAGGGATTGGTGCGGAGTTCCGTGCGGGGGAAGAGGCTTTCAAGACGGGTTTCTCTGTAGCTTTGGAGCCTGTTTTGGAACTCACTGTATAGATCTGGCTGGCCTCGAACTTACTCTGCCTCCAGAGGACTGGGATTAAGAGCATGAGCCACCATAGCCGAGCTAGATAGACTCTTTCAAGCATGGGAGAAAAATCAACCCAGCTGTTAGCTGTGCTAACAGCCTGCCACTTGGCTTCACTGGGAATACTATGTGGCTAGTGTTCCAAGCGCTGCCCTGCCTGCATCAGAGCCCGGTGTCTGCAGTGGTAGCGAAAGGAAAACCCACCCTGCTTTAGACTCAGATATCGGTGGGATTGCAGATTGACCTGTCCAGAGTGAACTTCGAGGTCCTGAGGGTGCCCCTGTCCAGAGTGAACTTCCAGGTCCTGAGGGAGCCCCTGTCCAGAGTGAACTTCGAGGTTCTGAGGGTGCCCCAACTCCAACAGCAGTGTGCCAGCTGGCTCTCTGAAGGGCATGATGCTTCATGAGTGGTTTCAATGAAGCCAAGCTAGGGACAGTGAGACATCAGGGATGCAACTGAATTCCAGAGCCTGAGCTATCTCTGGGACACCAAGTCTCTCCTAAGCAGGGACAAGTGTCTCCTACATAAAGGACAGACAGCAATAAGTTTCAATTTTCTTGGTTTTGTTGTTGTTGTTGCTTTTCTGAGAGAGGTTTTGTGTGTGTGTGTGTGTGTGTGTGTGTGTGTGTGTAACAGCCCTAGCTGTCCTGGAACTAGCTCTGTAGACCAGGCTGGCCTGGAACTCACAGAGATCAGAGTACCTCTGCCTCCTGAGTGCTGGGATTAAAGGTGTGCTCCACCAATGCCCAGCTCAGTTTCAATTTTCTAGATGACTAATATCCAGTTATTTGCAACCTAAGAAGTTAGTAATTAATTACAACGAATTATTCGTGTACTGGGCAGAAGTAGAACTGACTGGAAGACTCAGGGTTAAGGTAGGTTCCTTCCCAGAGGCCTGTGACTGCCTCCGGACATCACAGACAGCATAGTTAGAATTCCTGTCACCTGGAGGGGCAAGCTTTGTCATTGGTGCTGATGACAGACATTACTGTTTGCTTTGTTTTGTTTTTTTTAAGTTTAACTTCCTGTTGTTCATGTGACCTTACTGTCTCCATAGTTAGGTGGACTTGCTCACTTGGTTCATGGTACTGTTTTTCAGAATCTGTCTGGACCATTTTGGTAGCTTCACCTTAGCATACAAATGCATGACTCACGTGGGCACCATCTATGCGTGCTCCTGTTTCTAAGTCACAAATGTGTGTGAGTGTGTGAGTGTGTGAGAGTATGAGTGTGTATATGTGAGTGTGAGTGTGAGTGTGTGAGCGTGTGTGCTAGAGGACAACTCTGTGGACTTGATTCTCTCCTTCCACTTTTATGTGAATTCCAGGGTTGAACTCAGATCACCATCACGTGTCTGGTGTCTTTACCTACCTCACTGGCCCCAATAATAAAAAAGATTTTATTTATGTATATGCATTTGTCTACCTGGGTGTATGGGCATGTGTGTATATGAATGTGTCTGCCTGAGTGTATGAGTGTGTGTGTGTGTGTGTTTATGTGTGTGTGCTGTGTGCTGAGTGTATGGGCATGTGTGTGCATGTGTGTCTGGCCATGTATGTGTCTGTGTTCGTGTGTGTGTGTGTGTGTGTGTGTGTGTATGTTTATGTGTGTGTGCTGAGTGTATGGGCATGTGTGTCTGGCCATGTGTGTGTCTGTGTAGGGGTGTGTGTGTGTGTGTATGTATGTCTGAATGTGTGGACATATGTGTATTTGTGTGTATCTGCCTGAGTATCTGGCCATATGTGTGTGTATGTGCAGGCACATAAGCCTGAGAGGTATTAGGTCCCTCAGAGCTGGAGTTCCAGTTTGTTAGGTGGGGACTGGAATCTGAAGTCTGCTTTTCATAATTTGACATCGGTCACTCTTGGTTGAGAGTCATATCTCTATTCAAATCCCCCCCTTTTATAATTTATAGTCTTGATAGTGATTATACTGAGTTGTTGGCATGGAAGATTCCCGGGGAGCCTTTCCAGCCAGTTAGCCAGCACTGGAGTGGCCCAGAGTGTGGCTGTGCCTGAAGATAAACTGAGGCTCTGTTCCTCATCCCAGTTCCCAGCTTAACCGTTTAAATGGCGGCATTGGGCTCAAGCTCTCCACCACCTTTGTCACGGTCACCACAGCGTGTTCAGCTGTGGGGATGAGCGGTGGCTGTGTGCAGTCCATGTGCGGCTGAGACGGGACAGGGCAGGTTCACACTTCAGCCAGTGCAGGAAGCTCAGCCCACCATAAAGAGAAAGGCAAGCAGCAGTTTGGGAATTAGGAAAAGCCTCTGGAGGCCATAAAAACCTGCCCCAGGTTACTTCTCCAGAAACAAGGTGTGGGCTTTAAACAGCCTTTTATTTTTCTCCCTGAAGAATCTTAACTCCAAACTTTAATTACAAGTCATAAAACTCCAGTTCCATTTTCAAAGCTATTTCCAAAGATGTACACATACAATTTACACATTTATTGACTTTATGCCATGAAAGAAAAAAAGTTCCTCTCCCCAGCGCTCCCTTTCCCCAGACTTGTATGAATAATTGCATCTGTCTTCTCTATTAATCAAGTGTGAGTTTTTCAAAGTTTGATCCCATCATATCACCTTTTTACAAGTTATTTATTTATATTGTGGGATTGGGTGTTTTTCCCACGCACGCATGTCTGTACACCATGTGTGTGCAGTAGCCACAGAGGCCAGAACAGGCTGTTCGGTCCTCTGGGACTGGAATTACAAATGATTGTGAGCTGTGATGTGGGTGCTAGGAACCAAACCCAGGACCTCTGCAAGAGCAACCAGTGCTCTAACCACTGAACCACCTCTCCAGCCCCAGTGTTACCTCTTACTAAAGTCAGGTCGTGGGCTGGAGAGATGGCTCAGCCTATAAAGGCTAAGCTCACACCAAAAGTGCAAAATCAGGTCTTTATGTCTTTCGAAAGAGGACCCGTGTTTTAGCCATATAACAAGATATAACACACATTGCCAATAACTCCCACTTGTGCTATTTTGTTGGCGAGAACTTGGGTCTTTCGGGCGGGAAATGTTTTAGACCTGCCCCGGCTTCGGGCTCCTAATGTGTGCTATTCCCGTCAGCCTCACCTGGTGGTCTCCATGGAGAACAAGCTGTTTTTTAAACAATTGTTTAAGAGCAGTTCTGGGCTGCTGACCACAATCACCTGCAGGGACAGAGCTCAATGACCAGCGAATATTGGCTGTTGGGACCAAAGACTTCTTTATGAGCTGGTATTTTCCCAGTCTTGGTTAACAGACAATTTGTGCAAACTCCCACGTGAGGTTTATAGAACAGGGGGACAGGAGCCCCTTTTGGGGAAGCTCTTGAGTAAAACGGTGCCTCCTTGAGCAGAGACTAGATGTGAATCTAGACTAGTCATCTCATACAGCAAAACCTAAAAGAGAAAGCTGTCTTGTGAATATCAGCCCAAAATTATAGATGAATGTCTAAAATAGCTGAAATAATCTTTTTATTTACACTGCCATCCCCTATAGTTTGTCCAGATTTCACTTCTGGACAAATTTACAAACAGCAGCCCAAATAAAAAAACTGGAGAAAACATTTAATAAACACCAGAAGCTTCTATAATTTCTGCACAACCGGGAAATTGCAGAGATGCAGATGAGATGTCACACACCAAATCTGGGGTATTGCTAAGGACTGTCACAGGTTTAGCTTGGCATGGAGACACACACCCATAACCCCAGCACTCAGGAAACTGAGGAAGGAGGATCTTGAGTTTGAAGCCAGCCTGGGCTATCCCATAAGACCCTGCCTCACAATATCAAAACTAAATACTGGGTATGATGCTACACATTTTAACAGACAGGCAGATCTCTGTGAGTTCAAGGTCAGCTTGGTCTACATAGTGAGTTCCAAGGCAGCCAGGGTTACATAGTGTTCACCAGTCTCAAAATAATAATAGTAATAATATAGGTTTTGTTAAATATTATCTGAATCATGTTTCTCATAGAGCTCCAATGTTTTCAAAGACATAATTTCCCTCATTATTAGCCCCCTGCACACAGCATGGGAATTTAATCGCTAATAGACATTTTAATGGCAAGCAGTCAAACCTCAAAATAAAGAGTGAATAAATCATTATTCATAGGCAAGATAAGTTTTGCTTCATTGCTTCTGGTTTGGTCCCTCTGTGCATTGATTCTCATCCAGGAATGTGGATTTTTCAAGGAAGTAGACACACTTTCTTACTTGTTTCTTGTCAACTCCAAATTAAAGATGTCTAGAAAAAAAGGAGGGTGTGTGGCATGTTCTTCCCAAGTGTCATGGTGTGTCCCATCCCATTATGTGTCTTCTATCCTCCACCACTCCTCCACTCCCATACAGCAATCATAGCACTGATACTGATGGCATTGGCTGACAGCATCGGCTCTGGCATTGGGCAGCACGGTTGTGTGCAAATAGCAACTGTAAGCCACATGCTGACTATCATGGAAACTGTCCTTAACCTACTTGGACCTTGATTTTATCACCTGCATAAAGAGGACAATAGTGCCGGTTGATAGGGTTGTTGAAGGAAATAAAAGAGATTATCATGTAAGAAAATAAACATGTTGATGTGAATGGTGTTTGACCTATTTGGATCGGTAGGGTAAAACTTTACCAGCCCACATCAGCCACGAAATCACTGGTCTAAAGTCCAAAGGAAAACAAGCTTCCACTTCAGTTCCCATGAAATAACTTCTGGAAGGTTCTCAACCTCTCTGATATGCGAGCCCGCCCACATACAGAGCAGCCCTCTGCTTTCTTGAACTCCTGCTTTGTCATTATTATTTATTTATTTGGTTGCATGTATGTCTGTGCTCTACATTCATGCACTGTCCTTGGAGATCAGAAGAAGGCATGGAATCCCCTAGAACTGGGATTACAGATGGTTGTGAACCATCATGTGGGTACTGGGAATTGAACCCAGATCCTCCGCAAGAGCAGCCAGTGCTCTTAACCATCCAGCCATCTCTCCAGCCTCCAGACTCCGTGCATTTGAAGTACCATTTCACATGGTTTCTGGTTCCTTCTGTCTGTAATTTGGAGATTCTGGGAGCACCTCCTGGAGCACCTTCAGAGGCTGGGAGGGGCCTGAGAGAAATGTCTTCAATCTCATCCTTTGTCTCCAGGGATTCAGAATTCAGGAGGATCATGTGATTTGATTTGAGATGCTTAAATTCCTTTAACTCCATGATAAGGCAAATATTCGATAGAAAGATTGTTATTGTAGGAAGATGTCATTGATAATTGCAGCTTAGATGAAGAATTTTAGGACTCTGTGGGGATGGAGGAGGAGATACCTCGGTAGTTAAGGACACTTGGCTGCTCTTTCAGAGGAACAGGGTTTTGTTACCAACACCAACATGGCAGCTCACAAATGTCTATAACTCAGTTCCAGGGGATCCATTGCCCTTTTGTAGCCTCCTTGAGCAGAAGCAGATATATTTCTGTGAGTTTGAGGCAAGCCTGGTCTACATATTCCCAGCATATACAGGGCTACATAGGGACCTTGCCCCAAAATAGAACAAGAGGAGAAAGAATTTTAGGGGACAGGACAGCTGAGTGTCCTGTGCAAATATTTGCACATGTGCATAAGTAATCAGCAGAGAAAAGGAATGTGTGGCAAGAGACAGGAAGACATGCTCTGTGCAGTCAGAAAGAGAAAAAGATACAAGCCATCTTTGCTGGCTCCCAATACTGAATGAACACAATTGAGGCACCAACCTTTTTATTCTTTAAGTGTGTACATTAATCTTCTCCAGTTCACCCTCATGTCTGTCATCACCAAATGAGTTTATACTAGTGAGTCTCTTGTAAAAGAAAAACTTAATCCAATGAATATTAACAATAACAACAGCAAATACAGTAACGATGTGGTTGGTTGACCTGTTATGGGGCTGAGCCTGAAACTGACTGTAGATGATACAAGGACTTTAGGACACTGTTTGTCTCCTCCAAACTTACAGTATCCCTAGAGAGACAAGCATATAGACAGCTAACTCAAAGCTAAGATGCGGTGCCCCAGCGTTAGTACTGGGGAGCAAGAGTCCACCAAGAATCCACCAATTCCAAGTGCAGCCACGTGACAGTGGTAGATGAAAATCAGCCTCATGGGAGTGTTTACACCACAGGAATGGCCAACACTACAAATCAGGGCTTATTCCCATAAAGAGGTGTTGCTAAGCACTGACCATTGCTGTTCCCAGGTGAGGGGACACTGAACAGGTTCTGTAGGTAAAAGCTGAGTTCTCTGCTTGTTTAGGGTCTCTGTCTACTCTTGACATGTTTTCTATCAGTTCAGGGTTTGCTTCCCAGCTCTGGCTGTGGAAGAAGAAAATGACAGCTGGACAAGTCTTTGGAGCACTTGATCCCTCCCTTACCCCTCCATCTTTCCCTTGAAGTGTACATCACTGGCATCAAACTAATGAGCGGGGAAACCCGCACAAGTTCAGCATCATGGACATAAAAACCCCCATGCCCTGGGAATTTTGCTATTTAATTCAATCTAAATGATCAAAATCATTCAAGTGTGTTCTTTAGAGATGAGTGGGTGTATCGATGTTCATTAAAAGATAATGGATGGGAGTCTACTGTCTCTATCACCTCCTTCTCGCTGTGAGTACTCATATATTGCCTTTAAAACAATTATTGAACCATGAAGGGTTTATGGAAAGACATTCATAGTCCAATAAGACCTTTTTTGTGTTTTGTAGACACACATAAAATCGTGAGTGAAAACGTGGGAAGAATAGCTACACCCATGCATTGGGAAGTGACACTTGCTTACTCTGTGTCCGCTAAAGGGTAGTTTGAAGTCAGCTAGGGTAGCTGGTCAGATTTCTAGAGCATCCTTGATACGCACCCATATTTGACTTAGGCTCCTTTTTCAAAGTCCAAAGAGGCACCTGCAAGGAACCATAAAATGTCATCTCAGAAGAGAGCAATCAAGCTTGTGCAGCATCTGGTGGGGGGGTGGGCAGCACATCTGCCTCTTGTCTGGGTCTTCCCTGGTGTCTCCCTGAATCAGCATTTATAGGGTGCAGGGGGCATCGTAAACATCCCACTCCACTTGAATTCACCATTAACAATGCAGCAGTCACTATGAATATGCTGCTGCTTGCGGGGAAGACATGGCTCAAAGAAGCCAATGGTTTTGTGGCAGTGGTC